CATGGGGTAGGCTGTCAGGGGTGGTTATCACTATCCACCACTGCCTTCTCGACACGTGTCCCCCTGCACATGGGGTAAATATTCTCCTGGAATTCCGTTAAAGGCTCCTTCACGCGCCTATGACTAGGCCGAACAGCGTGGTGTTAAGTCCTCGAGGTAGTCGACCTGTTGAGGTCGAATAGGTTGCCCGATCATGTATCTGGTCGAAGGATAATTTGGTCGACAGCTTTGCTTGGTCGACTGGTTAACTGCTCGATTTTCTTGACTTCCTCATAATACGACCTCCTCGACCGGTCAATAGACCGGTTCGGCCTTGTGGGTATAATATCCTATATCAAGTACCATTTGGTACAGAACCGCTAGCAGTTTCATACGTTCTTTTGCTAGATCTACATTCTGCCTTTTTCTTCAGAGGAAAAATACTCTCGAAGAATATAGCATTCCTCGACTCAATAGTGGTGCTAACCGGTACCTCTGGATTTTTTTATTTATGAACCAGAAATCTATATGCAGTACTATTGTACGCATATCCAATAAAAATACAATCGACCGTCTTAGTCCGATTTCATTTTGTTTTGGTTCAGGAACTGAAACCTTAGCCAAACACCCCCACACTTTCATGTATTTATAAGATGTATTACGATTTTTCCATATTTCATAAAGTGTTTCATTTTTTCCTTTAGGTGGTATTTTATTCAGAATATGATTTGCTGTTAAAACAGCTACCCCCACATATTCTGGGGTAATACGGAATTTATCAACATGGCATTCATCATTTCTTTTAAAGTTCGGTTCTTGCGTTCAGCAACACCGTTCGACTGTGGAGAATAAGGGGCCGTCATTTGATAACTTATGCCATATTCAGAACATATTTGTTCAAAAAGAGCTACATACTCCCCACACCTATCACTTTGGATTATTTTAATCTTTTTGCCGAGTTGATTTTCAACTTCGGTCTTATAGATCATAAATGCTTCCACAGTCTCGTCTTTGCTTCTTAACAAATATAAGTAGCAAAACCTTGTGCAATCATCGATAAAAGTAATAAAATACTTTTTACCTGTTCTTGTTTGCACACTTTTCATATTACATACATCAGTATGGATCAAGCCTAATGGTTCAGTACTCCTTTCCATCGAGTGAAAAGGCAACTTAGTCATTTTTGCTTCAATCCAATTTCACATTTTGTATTTGTCTAAAATTCAGAATTAGAAATTAAGTTTAAATTCATCAACCGTTTAATTGTATTTGGATTTACATGTCCCAATCTAATATGTCATAAATCAGAGCACTCAACAGTATAAACCGAAATAGGCTTTGCATTTTCAACGGTTACACGGCTCACGGCCATTACATTCGTTTTGAACAAACCATTGTCGATATAACCACGACCAAGGAATGTTCCAAACTTGCTAAGAACAAACTTCTTAGCATCAAACACCAGCCTAAATCCATGCTCAACAAGAAGAGATCCGGAGACCAAATTCTTGCGGATGTCTGGGACATGCAGAACATCCTTAAGCTTCAACTCATTTCCAGAAGTGAGCTTCAGCACCACTGTGCCAACTCCAGCCACATCAGACGTGGAAGAGTTTCTTATTTAAAGTTTTTGACCCTTAGCAGGAGTGTATTCAGAGAACACCTCCATATCGGAACACACATGACGAGTGGCACCAGTATCGATGTACCACTCCCTTGGGTTATCCACAAAATTGGCTTCAAACACCACAACCGACATATCAAAGTCGGTAAGTTCACCCGGCACAGGGCCGTGTTCGACAGCAAGGGCACTCGGTTGTGCCTTCTTTTGCCCAGCCTTCTTAGGACTCCTGTAGTCCTTATCCACAATAGGGTTGATTGGATGTTGAGTTTGTGATCCTTCTCCGTTGGATGCCATCCGTTCAGTAAGTTGACTATATTTGTCTTGCGATTGTTACACAAAGTTGTGTTTGAATTACAATGAGAGCCTATGAACTGACTGAAGAGTTTAGTTTGTACAATATGAACTAAACAAGAAATGTAAAATACAACTCGAATGCAGACAGATTAAAGTCGGGGCGATTGAAATCTTTCCGCAAGACAAATACGCCCCGTATAGTGCTGACGGGTCTGTGTGTAATGTCCCCAAAGATACAACGGCTATACAATCGTAAGCTGTAGCACACCAGTCTTCAGAGTTCCAGCGAATAGGAATAGAGACGAGAACTGAGCACTACGTATGCCTGAGACTATGAGAGATGAGAGAGTTGAGAATACAAATGAGAATTTTCGTGTCTCGTTTAGTCTACTTTCCTCTACAACTCTATGTCCTATTTATAGGACTTTCACCTAGGTGGGGGATGACTCTTCATTTTGTAACCACTAAGCCATTAAAGGTCATT